AGATAGAGAGAGAGAGAGAGAGAGAGAGAGAGAGAGATAGAGAGAGAGAGAGAGAGAGAGAGAGAGAGAGAGAGAGAGGAGGAGAGAGAGAGACGAGAGAGAGAGAGAGAGAGAGAGAGAGAGAGAGAGAGAGAGAGACGAGAGAAGAGAGTCGCTTTAGACTACGGGTAACTATGGTTTTTAAGGGACAAGATTGCTCTAAGGGTGTCGGTAGTGTAGTAGTTAGCGCGTCTGCGTTGCCTTCTGTGCGTCTGGGAAACCAGAGGTACGGGGTTCGATTCCCGCGGTGCCCGCCCTTCCTGCCAGGGTGAGAGGCAGGCGACGCCACATAGCCTCAGTCGCTGAGTGCGTCGTAAAGCCCCAATCACACACACAAGATTGCTCAAACGGCTCGATTCTTTGTTGAATGAGTATGCTCGTCGGCGTGTTATAGTATAATAGCGTCATCGTCCCTTGCACAACGTTGATTGCGGGTCAATTGACGGCCGTTGTATCTGAAAATTGCGCTCACGAACGCCAGATATGAACGCCTCGACAATTAAATTGTTCTTGGCATTAATCGCCACTCGGCTTGTGGATTGGCAGGGTTTGAATGACGTATTATCGCGTCATGAGTAACAGGGTGGCATTGAATAGTCTCCCCGACATACCTTTTGCCATTTTCGCGGGCGTGTAGCTCAGAAACTAGAGCGGCTTAGGTCTTAGGAGGGCAGGATGGTGAACAAGCACCGAAAAGTCTTCAAGATGGCTATTTCAGTTCAAAATCCCATGTAAATGTAAACACTCCCTGTAACGTAGCGCTACCCCGTGTACCTCTTGAGATCCGACTCTTCCAAGCTGGTGGTGGCGGACCTTCCGTGGATAGGGCAGCGTGGCGCAAGCCCTCACGCGTTCCCATCGGATGGCACGTGGTCGGCGGTGTTCGCGCGCACGCCGAGCGATTTGGGCAGCGCCATGCGTTGTTGAGCGTTCACCAGCCCCTAGCACGGCCACAGTGCACAGTGTGCACGCACAAGCCCCGTTATCTGGCCTGTGTTTGCGCATGCACCCCCCACGGACACGCTAATCTATGCGCTGCTGAAAGACAAGTGGGCCATTGTTGACCGATACGAGTCTGGAGGCCGCTCTGAGCGCCCGTTCTTCGGCACAAGCTGATACCACGCGTTTCACGGCCGTTTAGCGCTCCCTGCACGTGTGTTGCTGCGCGCTTCCTGGTCCAGCCGCGGTGTTAACAACCCATTTTCGTGGCTTAGTTTTCTCTTGCAAACTAAGCCACCTGATAGCGAAGTCACCCTGCGCTCTGCGAGCAGTGTTCCGTCGCGGCTGTTCGCGGCGGTGGCCTCTCCGCTAACGGAACGTCCAGTGTCGCCGCGCCGCTAGCACAGATGGGCGTTGTTGCTTCCGTCAGCACAGTCGTTACTTTACCGTTATGACGTCGTTTAATTATGACCTGCTGTTATATTGAAGTTTGTTAACTCCACATACGTATTGCAACGCATAACACAACGTTTCGGCCAATGGAATCCCCAGTCGTCGGTAGGTGTTGCTAAGCCCTGAGAAGCATTCGATGGTGTTTGGCTCTCGTCAAATTATGTGCCACACCCCGAAGGGTCTCCTTTGAATCCCTGGAATTCCAACCGGGTCTTGTATTTGCAAGTCCAGCGGTCAACAGTGCGTGTGTGCGTGCATGCTGCATGCATGCGTGCGTGCGTGCGTGTGTATATGTGTGTTTTAACGTACGCTTTAGGCAGAATCGGTTCCATATTAAAGCATAGTTTGGCCCATATTAGTGTTTTTCAGCCCTTCCTATCCTCGGTATTGCACATTTCATTTTGTGTGTTCGTGTTGTGGCTTTCCCAGAGTCGCCATTCACGGCACGGATGCGCATTCATGAAGTTACAACGTTTCAGAGATGCGTTTTGTGTCATTGGATAACAAAGACGTTGGAGCCGTACAGTTGGCCAGGTTTACACAACATTTCGAGACAACAGAACTGCGCGGTCGGTGCCGACTGACCTGTAACAGCTCGCGCTGTTTATGCCCGGTTATGCGGATGTTTTTTGTAATTTTAAAATTAATGCCGACGCTCGTGAAGGTCATCTGTGATTCATCCAACGAACCTCAATGACTAGTGCGTGGGCTCGAAAGGACTTTCATCAGGCTGACGAGGACCAATTATGCCTCGCTGTACAACCAGCTGCGCCCCAAGGGAGTGTCTCCACAGCTATCAACACATATGTGACCACAAACACGTATACAGATTGCCAGACATCACTGAACTCTCAACAACAGACAGTGACGGTCGTAAATCGATGGCCGATTTTTATGTTTTTAAGTAGTCACCCCACTGTTAAAAGGTGGTACGCAAGTGGCACCACGGCCGTTGACACATTCACAGGGCGCCTGAGGCGACGGTGTGCGGGCGGACCGGACACTATCCAGCCCCGGGCGTCGGCGCCAGTGCATGTCCCGTTGGCCGCAGCGTCCGCTGGGGCAGCGGGCGGCGGTTCGTGCTGACTGGCGCCGGTGGCAGCCCGGGCGGCTCGCTTTCCCCGTGCGTGGCCGGGCCGCACGGGCACGCCACGCGGCCGCGCCTGACCCACTAACCCGTTGACGTGCAGTGCACGGCTGGCGGCCGGAGGCGGCGGGCCGTCCGTTTAGCCGGGGATGGCGCTCGGCCGGCTACATGTCGCACTGTGGACCTCACTCCACCTCGCAGCTGCCCCTACTGCCCAGACGGCAGGCCGGCCTCGTTTGGGCTGCCCTTGGATAATTTGCGCGTGATGAAGTGGTAACCGCAAGGTTTCGGGACGGTTTACGTGAGTTTCTCCTCGGTTCGCCACCTGCTTTTTGCTCATCACGACGTGAGGACCCGCGTGTGAAGTTAGGTAGCGATGGCCACAGTCATCATTTTCAGGTGATGGTACACCGTCGTCACACGATAAGGCTCGGTCGAGAGCCGCTTAAATCACTTCAAAGTGATTTAAAATCACTACTTAAATCACTTCAAAGTGATTTAATAATAAACTTAATAAATCACTTAAATCACTACTGCCACGGCAGCCAGACTGCCGTGGCAGTAGATGTGTCACTGGTGCTGGTGCGCTAACTTACAAGCTGTGACGTCCTGTTCAAGTTTACTGAGATATGGAAGGAAATGACGGTTGCTTTGCACTGCTGGTAATGTCAGTCTCTCTCTCTCTCTCTCTCTCTCTCTCTCTCTCTCTCTCTCTCTCTCTCTCTCTCTCTCTCTCTCTCTCTCTCTCTCTCTCTCTCTCTCTCTCTCTCTCTCTCTCTCTCTCTCTCTCTCTCTCTCTCTCTCTCTCTCTCTCTCTCTCTCTCTCTCTCTCTCTCTCTCTCTCTCTCTCTCTCTCTCTCTCTCTCTCTCTCTCTCTCTCTCTCTCTCTCTCTCTCTCTCTCTCTCTCTCTCTCTCTCTCTCTCTCTCTCTCTCTCTCTCTCTCTCTCTCTCTCTCTCTCTCTCTCTCTCTCTCTCTCTCTCTCTCTCTCTCTCTCTCTTCTCTCTCTCTCTCTCTCTCTCTCTCTCTCTCTCTCTCTCTCTCTCTCTCTCTCTCTCTCTCTCTCTCTCTCTCTCTCTCTCTCTCTCTCTCTCTCTCTCTCTCTCTCTCTCTCTCTCTCTCTCTCTCTCTCTCTCTCTCTCTCCTCTCTCTCTCTCTCTCTCTCTCTCTCTCTCTCTCTCTCTCTCTCTCTCTCTCTCTCTCTCTCTCTCTCTCTCTCTCTCTCTCTCTCTCTCTCTCTCTCTCTCTCTCTCTCTCTCTCTCTCTCTCTCTCTCTCTCTCTCTCTCTCTCTCTCTCTCTCTCTCTCTCTCTCTCTCTCTCTCTCTCTCTCTCTCTCTCTCTCTCTCTCTCTCTCTCTCTCTCTCTCTCTCCTCTCTCTCTCTCTCTCTCTCTCTCTCTCTCTCTCTCTCTCTCTCTCTCTCTCTCTCTCTCTCTCTCTCTCTCTCTCTCTCTCTCTCTCTCTCTCTCTCTCTCTCTCTCTCTCTCTCTCTCTCTCTCTCTCTCTCTCTCTCTCTCTCTCTCTCTCTCTCTCTCTCTCTCTCTCTCTCTCTCTCTCTCTCTCTCTCTCACTCGCTCTCTCAGTCGCTCTCTCTCTCCCTCTCTTTCTCCCTCGCTCTCTGCTGTCGCACGTTGTATCTTATCATATACGTGCACCTGTATCAGCGCCCATGGTCACCTGGTGGACATTGCCGCAATGCTGCTCCGAGTTTTATTGCAGACGGGCCACTTCAGACCGTATCGGGCCTCCCGGCTAGGGTCGCCCATCGGCTTGCTGTTGCGGGCGGTGTAGGCTGCTTACAGCCGACCCTTCAGCTGACGGGCGGCACCTTCAGTCCACGCGGCGCTCAACTGACCATATGCCTCTCCCTGTTCCGCTGCCCACAGGAAGAAGGCCAAGTTCGAGGGCCAGTACAAGAACATTGTACGCGGCGCGCAGAAGGGTGCCACCAAGGGCGCCAAGGCCCGCGGCCGTTCACGAGCCCGCTGAGGCCGTGCCGCCGTGCATCAGTCGCGACGCATTGAGCGGGCTGTGGGAGCCTGGTCAGGCACCGCCGTCGGCCCATCAATATTGCACGCTGATGGGACCGGCCGCCAGGCTCGAGACAACGCGGCGCGTCCATGGGCCGCGTGGTGCGTGTGGCGTTGTGTGACGCCGTCGTGGCGGCTGGGGGAGCGTTCTGGGCAGGTCGGCGGCAGGACGTTGTCTGTGGTCTCACTGGCAGTGGCAAGACCTGCACATTTGAGTACCGGTACAGCTAGCCTGGGAACACCTCCTTTCGAGCCGGTGTGAATACGATCTGTGAATAAATATGAGCCGGGAGGTGACATATTAAGTGTTCAACCCATTCGTGGCTGATCGGCTGACGCGTCAGCAGGCCCACTGTGACGCCATCCTCGCTCTGGATCTGCAGTCAGTGGACAGGGACCAAGGATTTATTTCGCAAAACAGCATTCGTACAGCGCAATACATTCGACGACACGTCCACGACCATACACGCACAAAAGCTCAGCCGGCTCAGGCGTTATCCACGGCAGCGACCCGCGCTGTGGCCGTGAGCGCAGTTGGCGGCACCAGTCCTGCAGTGCGGCCGCACTCTCAGCCGCCTCGGCCGGACGTTACCGGCGCGTCGGCGGCGAGATGACGCTCGTCTTGGTCGTGGTCGCCTCTTCGTCGTCGTCCAGCTCGCCGACCGGCCCCAGCGCCAGCGCCAGCATGTCGTGCACGGCCGTCGAATCGTCCGCCGCCGCCTTCAGCTGCTGCACGAAGCGGGCCCAGGTCTCCATGGACGCCTCACTGTGCCTCAGGGAGCCCATACACGAGTGGTACTTCTTGCCCAGCAAAGTGCGGTCGCACTGCTTGCGGTGGTAGATATGCACGAGACCTGGGTCGGGCGCGCGAACAATCTCCAGCTCCGTCTGATTGTACTTCTTGTACAGTACGACGTCCTCGCCACCCCAGCTTCCCGACACCAAGAACTCGCCAGCCACACGGTCAAAGTCCGACTTGTACTGACACGTCATGCCGAAGCCGAAGTCCCGCCAAAAACCCACGTCGCCACTTATTGGGTGCATCTGCCAGAGCGAGGTTGGCTTCTTGCGCCAGGCGCGGAAGTAGAGCTCCGGACTGAATGTGCTGAACACCACCGGGTAGTAGACGCGCCGGCCAGGGGCGGTGTTGGCGCGGCACCGGTGCAGTGCCTGCGTGTCGAAGAACATGTCGACGTCGCAGAAGAAGAGCAGCACGTCGTCGTGACCCTTCCAAGAGCGTGCGCCTTCCAGCAGGGCGTGGCCGCGCGAGAACTCGGCCTCCTGGTCTACCAGGCGCGCCACCGGACGGCGGGCGCGCTTGTTCAGTCGGTGCAGCGTGTCGGCCACGCGGCGCCGCTCGCGAGCCAGCTGCTCACGTGGTGCCGCCGGCTGGCCGCGCCAGTAGAACATGACGACTAGCCGCAGGTTCTCGTGGTGCGCGACCACGAGCTGCTCGAACATGGCGGCGAACTCGGCGAACGCGTCCGGCCGCCGGTAGTAAGGCACGACCACATACACCAGCTGGTCGTGGTCGTAGCCGGGCTGCGCATCGACGAGCAGCGGACCGGCACGGCGCACCAGTCGCACCGTTTCCACGCGGCCCGGCCGCGCCTCGCTGGCGAAATGCAGCACGTACACTTCGCCGGCGCCCAGCACCTGCTTGTACCGGCCGTCGAGGAAGTGCTGGGCCGTGTAGCTGGCGCCGCCACTGGCCTGGTTGAGGTGTTGAGCGCCGGTGCGCACGGCCGCCAGCAGCTCGACGTTCAGCGCGCCCCTCCGGCCGAGCTGCGGCGATTTGTTAACCGTGTCCCAGACGCTGCCCTTGGTGAACACGCGCCAGCTGGTTGTCTTCACCCTGCGGCACACGTTAGGTCAGCGTAGTGACGGCGTCGGCCAGCGTTCAGGCGGCCGAAAGCCATGTCGTGACGGACCGCTATCCAGGTGCGGTCGGCCTTGCACGTGTGTGCACACGAGCAGTATGCACGCCACCCGCCATGGGCAACGAGCGAGGTCAGACCGGGATGATCATTGATCTAAATCATGACATGGGCCAGACTGCGCTCCCTTGTGGCCAGCTGAAGGTGCGGTCATGTCTGCGACGTCACCGGCCGCGGCGGCGCAATCGGGATGGCCGCGTACTCACAATCGTGATCGGATCAGGTCGGGATGGCCGCGTACTCACAATCGTGATCGGATCAGGTCGGGATGGCCGCGTACTCACAATCGTGATCGGATCAGGTCGGGATGGCCGCGTACTCACAATCGTGATCGGATCAGGTCGGGATGGCCGCGTACTCACAATCGTGATCGGATCAGGTCGTCCATCTGTTCCACGTCACTGGTCTTGTCCTCTGGAAGGATATTGTTGCATGTGTGTGCGTCAATTTCACTCGTAGTACAGTGGTGCCTTTCTTTGTTTTTTTCTATCAGCGCTAAGTAAAGTAATACGAACTAATCCTGACTTGCGAGGGTAAGGAAAGCCAGCGCCTTCCATTTCTGATATCAGAGGCCACAAAAGAACGACCAGTGGTAGCACCGAAATCGGACATTGCCGGATCATTACTCATGCTTATTAAAACGAATTCTGATACCAGATCTCGTTTGGTCATGTCGCTATGACACCATTTCTGACATTTTTATGACACCGGATATTTTTATAACGAGTGTTTCGTTGTGGTTCACTGTTAGTAAATGACGATTTTGGACACGAAGTTAGCGATTAATCATGAGAAACGGGAATGCAGATGGCGTTCTCGAACAGCGCCCTTTCCTGGATCAAGCGAAGTTAGTGGTTTAGGGGTCACCCAGGAGGACCGTTACCCACGAAGGAGAGCGGGTGTTTTGATTGAGCGTAACCGACGCTTTACAAGGGCGGAAGGGACGATTCGTACAACACCACATTACATTCATGTCAGGTTTGGTTTAAAATTAACTGAAATAGAATGTCTCAGCAGGGTTGACATGCGGCGTGTTCCTGTGTAGCGTGATCACCACTCTCTGACCAGGGGAGGAGACAGATGGCGAAGGACAACAAAGCACATGATTTAATTCATGCACGGCTCGATATCAAGATTTTGCCTGTACATGAAGCACCTTTAGGTCAATTTCCTGCTTTGAAGCTGTTCAGAAGATGAATGCAACGGTATGATATTTGCTGTTCTATGTCCTGGAAGATTTTATGCTAATGGTTGGCCTGGCTTGAGGAAGGGTCATCCGAGATTCTCAACAGGTCGCATTGGACATCGTTTGACTTCTTGATTGACTGATCTTCGTTTGACCGAATACCAAGCCACTGACTGCAGTTCTTGTTCAATGGTCCCGGCTTAATTTGGGGCCGAGTGACAGCCAGTAATAACTCGTTTGTGAAGTGGAAATAATGAACAAGTGGAAATAGCTCGCACCAGGGGAGGATGAATCTGAAACCAGGTAAAGATGGCAGAAATTATTGGGAACGGCACAAGAGGGCCTAACCATAATTAATAGCCATAAAAATGACACAGCTGGTTTTTATACGGCATCGAAAACTGCCTGATGTCCCTCTCCTGGTGAAGATCGGTGGACGCAGACAGCGAGTCATCCGTTATTACCATCACGTGGTGCGAGCTGTGGGACGGCCACGTCGAGTGTGGGGTCAGTGGGCTTTTGCTGCAGCTGCCTCTGACCCCCGCCGCACAAGTCCTCTTCTTGCGGCACCAAGTTGTCTTCTTGCTCCACCGGCAGCCCTGGGGAAGTACCATCAGCGGTCCCACGCGTCCGTGCACAACACCCCTGGGCCGTTACACTCCAGTCGAGTCGGTTATTTTCCCATGCAACACAACAAAATGTGGTGTGATGCTAAGTATGACGGCTCACCAGCATGCTGACTTCCACTGCGTGTGAATGAAGCCATGGCCCCTTAGCACTGGTCCAGTGCAGCCTATTTCGCAAACAAAGGCACGCATACGTCGGAAGTGTGCCTTTGTACATGTGTGTACAGACATGTGGGCCATCGGACAAAAACGTTTCTTTTCAGAGTATTTTTTAAAACTTGCTTGTCTTGTGTAGGCAAATATCACAACAATACATAGAGAACACTGCACGTTTATTGTCTGCGATTGCTGTGCACAATCTGTCGGCTATATGGACTATTGTTATTTTTGAAAGCACTTCTGCTGCATCGTAGTGTGGTACCATAAATACATTAGAGTAGGTTTGAACTCAGATATAAAAAAACGAAGCGTACTTAAGATTAACACGTGATTGTTTAACACGCGCTCGGGTGGGGGTCAAGTCGGGTCCACGTGAACCCCGAAGGTTTTTACTGACTTCTTCCTGAATTTATTTTCCTGCATTTCCTGAGTTTTCCTACGGCGGGTCAAAGTCAGGCCATGGATGCAGCAAAGACGATTTCGAGGGGACCGTTCAATCTGTTGCAACAGCGGAGTATTGGACGAAACCATACATTTCTGGGATGGTTTTTTAGGCAACACAACAATTGCATAAACAAATTCCATCGACCTAGGACCAGGTATGAAGGTCGGACCAAGGTCGAAACCAACCTGCTGTATTACTCTTGCGCGTGCTGTATGGGATAGTTTCTGGTGCTAATTTCGAATTTATTGATAACAGGAACCGCATCATACATCTAACATGGACTTGCCAAAGGTGGCAATAGGTCAATGACCTAAAATGACCCAGGTCAGCATTGTGGTTTTGGGAACATTCTGCCTAGCGTAATCTTGGTTGCTTATTCAAATGAAAATCTTAAAGTAGTCTGGTGTGATTTTGGTCACTCCGACCTTCAAAAGATCAAACAAGACCACTGACCTTAAATGAGAATTTGACCTTTTGCTCAGAACAATTATCTGGACTCTGGGGGGGGGGGGGGGCACTTTGGAGACCAGCTTGTAGTTTGACCTTATCTTACGCAAAGGTCATGGCCAAGGAATCTCAAACTTTGACCTAAGTGAGTTTACGTTCAGGCCAACACACGGTGGATTTGGTTGTCTCTATCTCTCTTAGTTTCTAAGATCTCAAGGGAGGAGATCAAATTGATTTTCCACCCGAGCAAAGGGAACCAACCGCCACCCGGGCGCTTGTTAAATACAACAGCGGTTTACGCTGTTTTTCAATTAAACAAATATTTTTTTATTCAGTTAGGTTTCTCCGCCAGGGGTACTGATTCTGTTACCGATGCGTTTCTGTCCATTCACTCACTCTGGCTGGAACTGTTTCCATGGTAAAGTGAGACGATAAGACATCCGTTCACCAAGGCGAGGAAGGCCACTAGCTTCCTCGCTGAGGCACTTCGGAACATCCCTCGGCCTAAAACAGGGAAAACAAACTTGAGTCGCTTGCTATTGGTATGAGACTCTTCAATGCAGGCACGGGGCACCAGCGGCGCAGCCAGCAGGGGAGCCTTCGCGGAGGAGAGGGCGAGTGGCCCCTGCGCCCGCTCTCGCCCGCCTACCCTGCCACCTGACCACCCACCTGTCATGCCCCGTTGACTGCGCCCCTGTGGTCGTGCCGACTCCGTCGTAACGAGGGGCCGAGCTTCCAGCGCCGGCCGTCGGGCGCGACGGTCCGCTCTCGGGCCAGCGACGTCGGTCCGGCTGCTCGCCAGGCACGCGCTCCGCGGTGGTCCGCTTACTCACCCTACAGCGTCTGAATTAGACAGATCCATGGAGAAAGGAGCTTAGCAGCTTCCACATCGTGGATTTTCTAGCTTCCACGTTAACGTGCATGCAATAGTCGCGGAGGGTTCTAGGTCAGTGGAAAAGGCTAAGAAATGAAGAGAAAACGGAGCAAAGTGGGCTTTCCGGGATCAAGTGGACCAAATGCGGTGATTTTGTCGGAGAGTGGGGGCTTTTCACTAGCAGGAGGCCCTTCACCACCCCGGTGCATCCCCCATCAACACTGATTGCTCCTCTGGCAGGCTGAGGGAGAGGGAGAGGGAGGGGGTGGCCCTCCACGTCAGGCCGACATTTTTTACTTTTGCAAAATAGATAGCTCCTTTGGTTTTCTCATGGTCATGCTGACCGAGCTGCCCTCCCGGTCAGAAATGGTACGGCTGTGCTCCTGCCTGGCGCCGGCATCGTCCGTGTGCAAGGCTGTGACAGGCTACAGCGTGTGCCGTGCCGGCTGGGGGGCCCTTGGCGCCCCTCGGAATCTACGATGAAAAGCCCGATTTAAGGACAGGAAGGGCCCGAAAATCCAGCCAGAGGCCTCATTCAAGGGCCCGGCCCGAAGGGCCGTGCACCAAATGCCAGTCAGAGAGCCCTGCGCGCTGAGCAGGGGCCCACTGAGTCGATAAGGGCCTATATTTCGATCAAACGCCGCCAGTAAGGTACAGTCGGCTCCGTGGCGGCATGGGCCTGAGGGCCCATATCGCAAGCAAGGGCAAAGCCGGAGCCAGCGATTTACATTGCCCGGGCCCCGCAGCCCCTACCAGGGGCCCCAAGTCGGCCAGAGGCAGTGTTCGAGGAGGCCCGAAGAGCATAGAGGGCCCACCCAGACATTCTGTGTCAACAACAGGACATTCTGTATCACCAAGGAGCCTCGAATTGGCCGCCGGAAAACTTGTTCAACAAGGGCGGGGACAGGAGCCCAAATGACAGAGGGTCTCTTGCGTTGGTCGGGGCACTCGGACAATTGAAGGAAACAAGAACTTATAATAAGTGCTCACATTGAGGTAATAGAAAAGTCCTGTACCAGTCGGGGCCCGCAGTACCGAACGGTGGTCCCTTCAACCCTTTTCCAGCATGGGCCCGTTAAGCCCGACTGGAGCTTATGTGCCACTTACTTGACCGCCTGCGGTGAGCAAGGGGTGTTGTTGCGTCAAGGACGGTTCATGTGCCGATCCGGAGTCTACTGCGCGGGTCAGAAGGCCTCCCGCGTCAGGGAGAGGACCAACGTGATATCATATGTCCCCCTAAGGGCCTCCGGATTGCCCAGGGGATGCCGCCCCGTGTCGCCAGAATGACGGCCGGAAAACACACCGCGGTGGGACAGGACAACCCTGCAGCCCTTAACCGGTCAAGGGGATTCCCTTATCGGAAAGAAACAAGGGATCTCATTAGCGCTAAATTGAGTGGGTCGGAATGGCTTCAAAACGCACAAGGCCATCCCACGTGTCTCTGAGGGGGTTCATGAATTTGCAGAATGGACTAGTGAAGCAAATACCATCAGACTGTTTGAGCCTGCGCGTTGGATGCCTATGGTGTAGTGGTTCACGCGCCTGCGTTAACCACTGCGCGTCTGGGAAACCACAAGAACGGGGTTCGATTCCCCGCAGTGCCCGCCTTTCCCGCCAGGGTGACGGGCTGGCGGCGCCATATAGCCCCAACAGCTGAGTGTGTCATAAAGCCTCATTGGCACGCCCGTAATCTTTGAGAACAAAGCTTTCGCGATGGCTTGGGTCGCAGCTTCCGCACAACCGAACGGCTTTGGCCACCGCAAGTAACGCCAGGGGCGGGCGCCGAGCGCGCATCACTGACCATAGTGAAATGATGTTTCTGAATATCTTTCGCAATTAATTCGTACAGCTGAAGGATTAGGCTGAGTGAATATTTTTTTATTACAACTTTGGGGATGTCTCCTGGACAGATTAACAGTTACAGCAACACCACAAATAGGAATTTTACCTTTACTGTTCCAGTTTCACAACCACATTCCAGCGCCACTTCGCGGCGCTGTAGAGGCCAATGCTAAAAACCGCACAGGTGGTATATACGCCCGGAATATCTCTATATGTACGAATTGGTGTCCGAAAGCGTTTGGACGGTACTTGTTTTAAATGCATCACTATATTCGTGCGCCTGTTGGCCACGCCTTAGTTAAGCCCGCTAGGCTGACGCTGCGTGGCCTACGGAGACTGCAACGCTTAGCGTCGAGTTTGTTGCTTCTAAGATGTGCGAGTGCGCGTGCTCAAAACTACGCGACATAATTTGTATCACTTCTAAAGTTTGACTGAATGTTGAATATATCGATGTAAACATGGCTTAGGCACGCTAATGCAAACTGTTGACCCTTTTTTATCTTCAATCTACATTCTCGGCATCCTTGTTATTTCTGTACAGCCCGGATGAAAATTCTGACAAAGTTTGAATTCCATCGGTTTAAAAAGAGCCTAATGGACCAGTGTAAAGTGAAAAGCGCCGACAATTTATTTCATGCAGTCATTTATCGCATGGTCTTATCAGTTTGCTACCTATAAACTTAAGGCAGAATTGATCTCGTATTAGCGTCTGGCCTATATTTCAGTTACAGAATGTTGAAATGTGTAATACATGTATATACACATATATATATATATATATATATATATATATATATATATATATATATATATATATATATATATAGCACACACATGTACTCCATAACAAACGGGCCATGTCCCGCGATTTTAAGGATCCTTCCACTATCAACGGGCGCTTTGTCGACCCTGTGCTCCCCTTGGTAAGGCTCTGGCTGCGCCCCTGGGCTCGAAATGGAAATCGTGACCAATGCTTGCGTCACCGGCGGGATCGAGCTCAGTTGGGCTATCTGGAGCCTCTCGCTCCTCCAGCAGGGCGAGGCGCGGTGGCAGAGAGGTCGACGTTGTTTCAGCCCCTCGCACCCCAGCCCGAGGTCCACCGTCCAGTGCTCCTGCCGGCGCTCAGGATGGCCGGCTCAGGGGACGTCGGTCAGCCCGGCGTCCTGACACCTCCGGCTCAGCATATCGGCCGGGCGACTCAGGGGACGTCGGTCAGCCCGGCGTCCTGACACCTCCGGCTCAGCATATCGGCCGGGCGACTCAGGGGACGTCGGTCAGCCCGGCGTCCTGACACCTCCGGCTCAGCATATCGGCCGGGCGGCTCAGAGGACGTCGGTCAGCCCGGCGTCCTGACACCTCCGGCTCAGCATATCGGCCGGGCGGCTCAGGGGACGTCGGTCAGCCCAGCGTCCTGACACCTCCGGCTCAGCATATCGGCCGGGCGGCTCAGAGGACGTCGGTCAGCCCAGCGTCCTGACACCTCCGGCTCAGCATATCGGCCGGGCGGCTCAGAGGAGTGCGCAGCAAAGGGACAGCGGACTAGCAGTCGGCGACATGTGTCTGGCAAAAGCCGACGATCAGCTAGAGGTCTGGTGTCAAATTTTTATGGTAACATCATCCACACCCAAAGGAACGAATTTTTTAAAAATATTCCCCAACAATTACCAACAAGCTTAGTCCGCCAGACGGGACAGTGAGCCTTTCCAACCTTACACATCACATGCTCACGAAACATCCAGGCAAGGCAAACAGCAGAGGAAAACGCATGAAAGGACAGGATGCAATACTGATTGTTTTGATGTGAGTCTGCGGGCGGTGCGACGCAGTCTGGACGGAGTCAGCCGCCGACCGTCGTCACCGCTCCGTCTCACCTGTGGCCGCCCGAAGCCAAACTGCGGTGAGGCGGCGAGCGGCGCAAGCGGCCATGGGGATGGTGACCTGCTGCAGCGGCCTGGCGCCGCCCGAGCCCGTCTGATCTCCGGCGCGTCGGGCCCTGGTGCTGTATCGCATCAAGCCGGTGCGTCCCACGGCACGCTCATGCTGTGGCGCCCCACCGTCACGTGCGTCACGTCACGCCTGCGGTGTTGAGCGTCACGGAGAACTCACAGTCACATGCGGCGCGGCGGCTGCAGAGACTGCCGGCTGCGCTCCCGACCGGCGCCCGTCCGACCGTCGACTGGCGCCTGCCGGCCCGGCCACCGGCCCCGGCACTGGCCCACTTGAGATGCTCCGCGACCGGAGACGGGGGCGGCGTCGGTCGGGGCGGTCCCGTTCCGCTGGCGGGCGTCTCCAGTGGAGCGGCATAAGTGGAGTTACTCATCTGTTGCATAGGGGTGGTGCCAGAGAGGTTCAAGCCTCGAGGGATAGAGGACTTTACCGGCTGAGTTAATCTCAGCGTACCAATGTTGAATGGGTGAGGGCTCGAGTTGCCTGCAGATCATGAAAAAATTACAGGCATGGTTACTGCTGTGGCTAAGATTTTAGCCACATGCTGGGGAGATATTTGAAGAACTACTACGCAAGGCTATTATTTGCGCTTATTTTAATCATGATTATCCACGTTCGTACTACTTTTGCAATTATCAACACCAAGAAATAAGTTTGAGTGTAAATCTCCTGAAACCTCTCCAAGATTTAGACCTGTGCTGGAAAAATGTGGAGGGTTAGCCCCCCGGTTGGTAACGCTGCCTTCTTATGGGCAGTGGATGGATGTGGGCACAGCCCCATAGCTAGCAAGTGAATTGAGTTCACAAATCTTACCTGTGAAAGCCTGAGGGGCTCTGTCTCTACCCTACCAACTTGTCTTGAAAGTGTAACCATTCGGAGGTAATTGAGACGTCATGAGTGGGCGAGCGATGCGAGGGAAACGAACTCATTCGTACATGAGAGACTGAATCGAGTCCTTTTTGTTCGTTTCCTTGCGTGCCTACCCGGGGTTCAATATTTTTTCCAAGCGTGAAAGCACACAGCATCGAGCACTGGCTTAACAGAGTCATCAGAGCTTTTGCGATTTAGACTCTTAGACCAGTTGAAATTCACAAAACACAAAACTCATGCAGTTCTGGCCACCGCATAAAATGCATTAAGGCGTGATACGCTGGGAGGTCCATTTGTTGCCACGGTGTCACAAACGGCGCATGGCTCGAAATCCTTTGCTGCTCTCAGCGCTACTTTCGACGACTTGGTGTTGAAACATCGCATATTCCAGTCAGTTATCCCGGCATTGTCGCCATTCTCGGTGATTATTTATATGCCAAGCTTCTAGGCGACACCAGGACCCATCCAGCAGGTAAGAAACTGTTCGAATTTATCGCAGCACGCTCCCTGACTGAGCTAGTTACTTATCTGTCAGCGTGTTCATCCGGTTCTGTTTTAGACGTTTTGATCGTGAATCAAGCCATCGTGCTGCGTCAAGGCCATTTGAGCTCGTACATATTCATTCCGCCGTCCAGTGATTTATCCCAGCCTGGCATCAGGCTGGCCGGTGTGCTTACCCAGTGTTGAAACATTCTGACCTGGGCGCATACTGTCGTCACCGGCATTCTCATGATTAGAACGAAATGCTTGTCCATAAATGCATCTGCGACGTGTGGAGTATTTTTAGCTACATTTATGAACGTTCTGGACGGTCTTCCCTACACATTTAGTAAGCTTCGCTACCAGTCGGTGCCACCTATAGACTGACCCCGTGATCTAAAGGGCAGAGCTGCTGCGGGTTGACATGGCGTGGTCCGATGCTTCCGCTAACGGCGCAATCGGGCGGCGTCCAGGGGCAGAGCTGCTGCGGGTTGACTATGGCGCGGTCCGGTGCTTCCGCTTAGCCGCGCAATCGGGCCAGGCCGTTCAAGGGGCAGAGCTGCTGCGGGTTGACATGGCGCGTCCGGTGCTTCCGCTAGCCGCGCAATCGGGCCGGCCGTCCGGGGGCAGAGCTGCTGCGGGTTGACATGGCGCGGTCCGGTGCTTCCGCTAACGGCGCAGTCGGGTCGCCTATCCGTTCAGACTCCAGACGTGATCCAGCGGATAAGATCGGTACAGACGGCTCGTGCTCAGCACAGAAGCACATGCAAAACACTATCCATAGCCGACTGCGTAGCCGAGGCGAAGAACCCTACCGCGTTCCCTGACGTCATCAACGAGTTCTTTGTCAATGTCAGACCATGTGTAACTTGTGAGGTGGCTGCGTTTGGTAATGCACCAGAGGCTGCTGTAAATACTGTTAACATGTGTTTTTCATCGGGATGCGACTATAATCTCCTGTGTATCGGATTATTCAAGCTGTCCTTTTTCGTCATTCAAATACTTTTACACATTGCCAAGGCGTTTTGCCATTTGCTGAAGCATCCCCAGGTTATAGAAGCATGTGCTGGTGCCTGGTACATCCTATTTTTTTTATCTGGTAATCCTAACTTTGCTTTCTGTTTTCGTTCATTTTCCACCCTTCCTACCATCTCTAAGGTGGCTAAGAAACTGATGCAGCGTCAGTTTTAACACTTCCTGAAATCCATCCGACTCCTCCATCATATAAACAGGGATCTCAACGACAGCTCTGCTTGGCATCACGGAACTCACGCTCTCTGTGGGGGACGGCTAAAACAATTATTCTGTCGTATTGACTTGAGCAAATGTTCTGACGTCATCAATCACTCTTCTTGTTCCGAAGGTGAACACGGGAAGAATCCGAGGAGGGGGTACAAGCGAGGAGATACCTCCCTGCCCCAAATGGAGGAGTTAGCGAGTAAATGTAGGTTTGTAACACAAAAAGGAAAGAAAAGGGAAGCCCCTAGGCGGCCAAGAAGGGCCACAAGCCAGTGAACATTAAGGGTACACAAGCAGGCTAAACGAGCTCTTGGCTGATTGTGAGGGCAGCAGGCGGACACGCTAGATAACATGCTGCGCTGTGCAGGGCACTGGGCTGCTAACGGCTGCCTCTATTTTGGCTTCCCATGTACTCTCGATCGCCCGTGGGCCTTCCGCATCTGTCGCGGATCCTTCCGATCTGCTTGGAGGGAGGGCCCAATACGCTGCTGTCGAGGACCCCATACGCCAGCCTGCCGGCGCAACTGCGACCGTCTGGGGACCCTCCGCATCGGTCCTGAGCTCAGCCTGTCTGCTCCTGTCTGCCACCGCGCCCTGCCCTCTTGCTAGCAACCCTGCCCGTTGACCTATCGGGTACTTCCGATCGTACAGAGGCCTTCCCCGTTGCTCTTTCGTTTTTCCATTGCTCGGAGCCCCCGCTGCTGTTGGAGCCCCTACATGCCAACCTGCAGGAACGCCCGACCGCGGCCGTTCTCGGACTTCCGCGGCATCCTGGCATTGTCTCTGGAGGCCGAGGACTGAACGGTGCCGTCGGGAGTCCGTACATCAAACTGCCGAAGGTATGCGCTATCTATAACCCATGGGTTTTCACACTGGCTTTGAGCTTCTCCCACTTGCTCGGAGGATCCTGTGTTGCCGCTAAAAGCCCCTGTTAACGTACAGGAGAACCTGTGAGAATCCTGAGGCCCGTAGTGCTCGTGTTGAATTCATCACGTCTGCTCGGAAAATTATGTGCTGTTGTCTGAACCCTATCAGCTAAACTGCCAGTGTTCTCGAGATACTCACGGGCTTCTATTAATTGATATAGGGCTCTTCTCATTGGTTCAGAATTGCAGAGGACCCTACGCACCCGTCAGAGACACCATGTGTTAACCTCAATAGACGCTCTCGATGGGTCAGGGGCCGTCTCAGGGACCGTAGCCACTGGTGTGGGGTCGGAGGACCCGACACTGTTGTCAGGGTGTTTATGTTCATATGCAGGCCGCTTGATTACACAGGGGCCATCCAAACCGGTGTCGGGTTCCTCCTGTTTGCGCATGGGCCCTGCGCTTCTGCTAGGGGCCATATCTTACAACCTGTCGGGCCATCCCCGATCGCGTGGGGCCCTGCTCTCCTGCTGGGGGCCCTAAACTTGAACCTGTCAGGCCATCCTCCATTGCATGGGGCCCTGTTCTTCTTCTGGGGCCATATATTTGAACTTGCCGAACCATCCTCGATCGTTCTGGGGCCCAGCACACGCGGGTGCTTCTCCTTTGTTTGGAGGTCCCACTGTGGCTGGTTTTGACACTGC